GGTACATTACTTAAGAACATGGTGGTCTTTTCCACCGATTTCCACCCACCATCCACCTTTGTTTACAACCAGTGGCCATTAGAAGTACTGCACCTGATGCCACCTTTGCACTGGAATTAGTATGTAGCCATGGCAGTTGTTGGCTGCTATGAATACATGACCTGAAAGCTCAGAGATCTCTTTTGTGTGTGCGTGTGTGTGTGTGTGTGTGTGTTGCATCAAACAAGAGCTGCTTCCAACTGGGGACAACAGGGAACACACAGTGGTGTGTGAGAGCTGATACCAAGCTCTTGAGATATAAATAGGACCTCCCTGCAAGAGGGCTTCCACCAGCAGCACTGATAATTCTCTACGTGTTGTATAAGCCTCAGTCCTTGTGTGTCGTACATTTTAATTTCTTCTTTGCTCAAAAATGAATGCCAGCTCTCCTCTTTTTTTTGAAGTGTTGTAGTGGAAATGTTTGTGTTGGCAGTGCAGTCTAACATTAAGGTTGGCAGCGTGTGTATTTGGAAGGCAATGCTGGTTTCAGCTGTGTTTTGGCTCTGCTCCCAATAGGCCAGAGACCAGGACCCGGGCCACCAAGGGCACACTGCTCGCTCTTCTCTCTGGGTGTCTGGCCGATTAGCGGGAATGACACGCCACAGCATCACACATTCACCCCCATAATATGTCCTGAGGTTGATTCCAGCCTGTGTTGTGTTAAGAATCAGCTCAGTGAGCTGACACAAGTCATGAGGTTACTCATGCTGACAAGATCAATTCACGTGTGTCTTTCACGCATCCTGTTTCCTTCCTGCTTGATTAAAATCAGTTTCTGGCTGTCCCTAGTAAAAAAAAGTGTTAGTTCAGTTCCACTTCTGATGTCGGGAGCAACACAGTTATGACGGGAAGGTAAAAGATTTGCTAGCCAATATTTGCTGTCTTTTATCCTGACTCGGTATATGGCTGATACGGCTTTTTTAACCAATCTAGGTCTTAAAATTGATTCTGTAAACAATTCAAATCAAAACCTAAATGTACACGATTGAGTTGCAGAGGAGATGACCCCTCTAACAGTCATAGTGGGAGTGCATTGGAGCAGTTATTTTCATCATTAATTGAATCTGTTCTAATTAGTTTATGGAATAATTGTTTTTTGTCCTTCAGATTTCTCGTTTTGTCTGACCAACGTGAAGATATTCAATGTACACTGAGAGTAAACACAAAAGCAGTAAGACCTCACATTTGAGAAGCTGGAAGCAGAGAATGT